TCTTCATCCTCCTCCTCCTCCTCCTCCTCTTCTTCCTCCTTTTTATGGCATAGATTTATCCAAGCCCTATGGAAAGAAGAATGTTTTAGCAGAAAACCTGTAGTTCTAACTAACACCAGAGAGTGGCAGAATGATAACGGTAAAAACAATTTATCCAGCTCTTGCAAACATTGATCCCTTTCTGTAATATATTCTGAATTCTACAATGCTTTGAATACTGAAAAATAGAGGATATGCTCAGTAAAGAACATTAGTAAGATTAGTAAAACTGAGCTATTTAGTAGTATTAACTTATCCCAGATATTTTCAAATAGAATAACTACCCATAACGTATTCTTTCAAATAATCTTGTATTTTATCTCTTTTGGCTCCAGACTTCTCAAAATTGGTGGCCCATCTCTGTGAACAGGTGAAATCCAGATTTAGTCAAGGCAGTAGAAGACGGTGAATGATTGATGATCAAGAGAACATTCTATACAACTTATTGTCAAAGTTGCCAATGAGGTTTTTGGTCTAAGACAACTGTCCAATGGCCAACCTGCCACATGACAACGCGCCACAGGATAATTTTACATGGGACAACTCAACATGAGATAAATATACTGTTATCCATCACTGTTTCTTTGACATTATTTTCATTTTTGTCATTCACAGTTCATTTGATTCCTCCTTTAGCATCTTTTCTTTAATGATTCTATTCCACCATTTCTTTGATATTAATGGAACCTTTGTATTTCTTGATTTACTTAGGTTTTTTTACCTGCTCTAAAAGCACAGGGCAGGGATGTCAAATTGCTGGCCCGTGGGCTGGATGTGTCACATGCAGGCCGCACCCACCCAGCTCCGCAAAGGCAAAAACATCGAAACACATCACATGACATCAACGAGATGCGGCGAGTTTGACACCCATGCTTTAGGGCAATTGCAGATGTACCCTTGCCATCTGGTAAACCATTTTTCGTCAGCATTCACTAGGGGATTGCTCATTCTGTGAGGTTTTCTACCAAAATTTCATGTTCAAATAAACCCAGACAATAAAAAACACAAAAAATGTTTTCTATATACACACATACAAAAAAAAAAACCAGACAAAAAACCCCACAATGTTTTACATCATTTTTATCTATTTAACACATACCATATAATATAATACATAGTAAAACTTAAAATTTCATTAAACTTTAAAATAAAAAAACTAGAAACTCAGAATGAAAAACCCAAATCTGGATTTAAAAACCCAGCACTAGCAACCCTGATATACGTACACACTCAGCATTAGACCTAGAACTAAACACGTACTTACTATGAGAAAACATAACTGAATATTTTCTTCTATCTTGTTCCTAGCACTGATTTGGTCATACTACATTGACTTTTAGAAAACATATGCTTCATAATTTCCTCTAGCAGCAAACTTGGGCTATAATAATTTTTTAAACTGAAAGAAGCTGCAGATCTCAATTTATACAGCAAAAATTCAAAACTTCTACTGGCATTCAATTATTAGGGTTGATGCTTTTTCAGTGTTAAGTAATAATTTCGCCTGAATATCATATTTGTTCAATAATTTAACAATCTAAACATTAGATGCAGATGGTTCCTTGATTCCCAATGATGACCACTTCTAATGTATTGTAATTAACATTAAGCAAATCCTCCTTAAAAAAGGAACTTCCTATTGATCTATAGAAGCTTACTTAGTTGGTAAGACTGAGTTACATTTTGGTTAGTTTGCATAAATATTGCAAGCACTTACCCCTTTCTCTGTGACAGGTGGAAAGCACTTAACATGCTAAGAGTTACGTTGCTTATTGAAGTTATTAAACTGGAACAAACAAATACTACTGTGAGCTATGTGCTTTTTAATATTACATGGTGCCATCTAACTTCAGTTTCTGGTATCAAATTCTGTCAATTTATACTTTTGCATATAGAGTCTCCCACAGAGGATTGTTGGAAATTATGACATATTCTGCACTGGAAAAGGAGAAGAATATGAACCTCTAACATTGTGTATGATATGTTAGATCTTAAAATAGTGTTGCTGTTGTACTGATAACATGTTGAGTGCTCTGGTCTTCCAATTTAAATGTGCAAAATCCCCACAAGCTCTTGCATTAGAGTGATGGAAGTGAAACTACACTCAGAAATAAAGCAAGAAAACTACACTCAGAAATAAAGCAAGAAAATCATCAAGTAATTTTATGACTGAAGGTGTCATTGCTCAAAAATTCACAAGGACCCATCATTGGGCTACATAAGCTAATGAGATGAAATCTTCTGGGTGCAAAAGACTGCAAAAGAACATGGAAGATTTTAAATTTGATCGGTTCTTAATGCTGAACTACCAAGACCAAGGATGTCAATATTTTGTACCCTGGGGTTGATGACATAGCCATTGTTGATCTTGGATGGAGCATCATTTCCCAATTTGGAGGTCCTTTTGACCTAACAGTTACTGATCAAATAGCAGATGGCAGGTGTGGCCAGGAGGACTATCTACATAATTTTATATTGTGTACTAGTTGTGCTCTTCCGTCAATCCAAAGGCTCTTCATACATCCCCTAAACTCTGCTGAAGATGTTACCTAGGCTGATAATGAATTGTTCAGAAACCAACCCACACGCTTGGAGGATGAACCTTCACCCTTGCTCTTCATAGTTATTAATGCCCTGTTTACCTCATACACTTTATATTGAAGATCATCCAGAAGCTACAGCTGCTTTAGATGAAGTGGTATGAGCAGTAATGGGCACTTTTCAATACTCCCATGAGTCACCTCTATTTAGGTAAGTTGCATCACTTTCCAGCTTCCAAGTGCAATTCAAGGTGCTGATTATTACGTATAAAACTCTACATGAAATAGGACTTGGACATCTGAGAGGCCACCTGTCTCCAATTGCCTGCATGGCAGGTTTCAGAAAATCAGGACTAAGGAAATATATCTTCATCATGCCTCATGCCAACTGAAACAGCACCCAGTCCCTTGTGGTTCCAGGAACTGTTTAAAACATGGCTTTGGTTCCTGTATGTATTGGGTGGGGCCAGGATTCTTGCTTTTATGGTTATTTTAGTCTGAGCTGTTTGTGTAGTTTTGTATGCTTCCCAGAGTCTACTGGATCTAGGCAGCTATAACAAATTTAAATTAATAATATTGTTTTAGACTTTATGAATCAGTGTTCAAATTTTGAGAATAAAATAAACTGGCTAGTGTTAATTGGTACAATTTATTTCACGGGTGTCAAACTCGTGGCATCACATTGCCGTCACATGATGTAGCAACATTTTTTCCCTTTGTGGAGCTGGAGTGGGTGTGGCCTGCGTGTGACACATCTGGCCCACGGGTCACCAGTTTGACACCTCTAAAATTTTATTTGAATGCAATGAAGATAATAATTTATTGTTGTGTTCTGCTTGCCTCTCTGGGAGCATGACAGCTTCTCCACTACTGTTAAAAATCTGCATGGATGTACCCCTGAAGTCATCTAAAGTTATGCTTGATTTGACAGCACTTTATCTTTACAAAGCATTGAAAAGTCAATGAAAAGCTCCCTATTTGTATCATGATAGCATGGCAAAATAATTAGCAGAGCTTGCTGCAGAACTGGTCCATATATTTATAGCTGTTATATAATATAACCCTGTGGCTAATAAGAAACCATGCTTTTCTTGTAGAGGGAACAGTTTTTATACGTGTAAAGGAGTAAAGATTTTTTAGACACACAGGCTGGGCTTAAACATATTAAACCATAATGTGATGTGGTCGTTAGCAGCCAAACTATGTCAATTTTCAAAAATATTTTTACAAATAATGGCTTAGTGAGATATTTGATCCCATTAATTGCATCAGAGCTAGTCCTTGCTTAATGATCATTTGTTCAGCAACCATTTGAAGTTACAACAATGCTGAATGAATAGTAATTAAGATCACACCTGTTATGGTCATTGTAGTCATGTGATCAAAATTCAGGCACTTGGCAACTGGCTTTTTTTATAAAACCACAGCATGCATTTCAATTTCCCGAACTATTTGCCCCATCTCTGTCCTTTTGGCCACCCTGAACTTCACTACCTACTCTTGCCACATTTTCTTCCTCCTGTTGCTGGTTTGGGACATGGCTGGATGACTGCACAATCCCAAGGTCCATGCAGTGAGTGTAGCAGGGAGCTTGCTGGGCCTGGCCAGGGACAAGGCAGTGGAGTAGTTTGTGCAGGACAGAAGCATCCGATTATGATGTAGTCCTCGCCTAAAAACTGCAACCAGAACTGCTATTTCTAACTGCCCCATCAGGTGTTTTGCCTAATAACCACCTTGCTTAGTGACAAAAATTTCAATGCCAGTTAGCCCCATTAAGCAAGAACTATCTGAATATAGATTATTTGTAGGAAATAACTAAAAAGGAACAGCCAAGTCAAGTTGCTGAATAACGGATTCTCAAAAATTTTGATACTGGTATGTTGGAGCTAGTCAGCTATTCTGCTGGAAAATAATTCACACTGTTAAAAAATATAAAGGTAAAGGAAAACCCAAATTATAGTTATGGTGCTATGGTATGTAGCTCTAACATTAGAACAGTGCATGTATTTAATTCTCAATAGAGAATATTGTCATTTGTGTGACTGTGACTATATTAACATAATATAGAACAGTTACAGTGAAAGCAATTGGTGTAGTAATGTATTAATATCATAGATGAAATGAAATATTATATTGGTAAGTGATGCGAAATTTCAACTTCTTCAGTCTTCAAAAATGTATATATCTGTCTGCACCTGCATGTGCATTGGATCTGATCTGTTGGAAATGATTTATCTTCAGGTGGAACTAACTTTATCTTCTCTTTAGATAGTGCATATTTTTAGCTTGGACTGTATCCATAGTTATAAGGAATCACTATTTGTTCCATGTATCTGATTTTGTGCTATACACAAAATGTATGATGAGTCAGTGCTGAAGTTAAATGCATTAAAACAAAAGAAAAGGAAACAAAAGAATGTTGGGGAAGAAAAACAGTGTTTTATTTAACCATTAATGGTCATGGTCATTGTTCCATCAGGAGTTCTGCATTAATAAGCATTATTTCCCAGTATTCTACAAAGCACTTCAGCTCATGTTCTTGCTGGCAAGACATGTTTCTGTTCAACTTACCTTTCTCTGTTGTCCATAGACAGAATTACAATACATTAGTTTGTTGGTTATGGGTTGCTCTAATTTTTGTCTTCCATTCATATTAGATCATGTACACAACATTTATTCTAAACAGGTTATTTAGGGGGAAAAAATCCATCATTTCAACTTTATCCCAGATGGGATATCCCACCAAAAGTATTCCGTCATTTTCACATACATGTTTGCCCAAGACGATTGTATACAATAGCACCAATTTTCTGCTACTTTTATAATTGTGACATATTTATTGTATTCAATAAACTGACAAGACTGCTTTTCCTCCATGGGAAACATGGGAAGCCCCTTTCATTTTAACTGTGCAAAAACAATCCTGAAAGATAAGATACATTTATTTAAATAGATATTTGCTGCCCATCTCAAAAAACCAGATTCTGAGTAGTTGATAAGGAGACTGACAAAAATTTAAAAAGTACAATAATAGTACAATATAAAATACATTTCACAACCAATTAAAACTCAAAGTGGCTGCCAACCGTACCATACTTCAGCAGTTACTCCCAAGTCCATGCCTGGGGAGCAATGTTTTCAAGGCTTTCGAAAAGGTAAGAAGAAGTGGGACAACCTAATCTTTGGTGGTATGGTGTCCAGAAGGCAGACACAGAAAAGATATGGGAAAGATTGGCCTAAGAGACAATAAGTAACTCAAAATCATTCAGTGAGATACCATGGTTGAGAATAGACTTGGTCTTGGTTAACTACACATATAATATACAGTTGTGAGATATACGTCTATTGAACAACGGGACTGTGGCTGAAAATATAAAAAAATAATCAGAAATGAACATTTTATTCCTTGCCATTTTCAGGATGGTAATGATTAGAGATTTAAACACACACACACACACACAACTTCTTTTTCCTTGATGACAGATATGTCACTAGCGCTCCTGAAATTGTTATATACCAGTTGATCCTTTTGTGCAATTTCTAATAACATATTTAAAAGATATAGAAGGGTAGTGATGGTTACATTTTTTATTGCTGATATTTAATCCTGTCTCTAACCATCTAAATCACTTTATCCAGCTGTTTTCTCCATCAAGTGGAAAAGGTTCAGAAATTGGTTGTTGCTAACAGGAAGATTTAAGCATTAAATCTCTAATAGCAAGAGATTTAAGCATTAAAGATAAAGCATTCTCAAAATAGTATGTCTGAGAAATATATAACAGCATCATGGTTCATTGAACAAATGTGGTTTTATTAAAAAAAAAAATACAGCGGATAAATGCAACATGGGATGAATTACCTGCCAGCATGTATATACTTGAATTTTGCATTTTTAAAAAAATTGCACTTCACAAAGATTGAGTAATTCACCTTTCTCAAAAATACTTAGTTTCCAAGCAGAAAAAAAATAGGCTTTCTGTATGACATTTAGGGTACAGAAACCTGATTTACAGAAATTAGGAAGTACATGCTTGTATGTATGATTATCTCTCAGTGTGTAACCACAGTGGGGCAGTGATTAAGATAGTGTATTAGAATTAGACTGAAGTCCACCCTCAACCATAGAAGTGAGTCACAACATCCTCAACCATGGAAGTGAGTCACAGCATACAGTACTTCAGAAAGTTGCTGCTCTGTTAAAACTGGAGGCAAAGGATCATCTCCATGGCTTTTAGCTCCTGAGTAGGCTGATTTTCCTCAAGTTTCCAGCTCAAGCAAGCGCTGCCACCTATTGAAATACGGCAGAAATATTTAACATATTTAATTTTTTTTTAAAGAGTTACTGTGAATATGCAATAATTGTTACCGTCATTCCTGGCTCCAGCAAGACAGGATTATTCATTTCTCTTTTTAATCCCCCACTAGAATCAATTCGTTTTTGAGTTTTAGCGAACACAACCAGCAAAACTAAATGGGGCAACAGTACTAGCGGGTATTAGAAGTGCCACTGGTTGCCTGGCAGCTGAGGAAAGGTTTGCACGGAATCTCAGAGAATTAAGCTGCTTTCTAGAGCGAAAGGCCAGGAAGGCGGAACTCCAGGGAGCCTCTGTACTAACCAAGGTAAATTTACAAGTTGAATGTGTTTTATTCAATAACCTCATAAAATCTAAACAGACTTTTTGTCCCAGCAAGAGCAGAGAGTGATTTTTTTTTAGCATCAAGATGGCACATCATCGGCAGGCTTCTGCTCAGCCTTCTCCCAAATTTCAAGGTTTAATGACAAGAAGGACTGGGAGCTACATGATAGCAGTGTGTGCTCCAATATCTAAGGAGCTGCCACAAAGAAGAAGGGGAGGGGGATTCAACCCATTTTCCAAAGCACCTGAAGGCAGGACAAGAAGCAATGGATGGAAACTAATCAAGGAGAGAAGCAATCTGGAATTAAGGAGAAATTTTCTGACAGTTGGAACAATTAAATCAGTTGAACCAATTGCCTTCAAAAGTTGTGACTGTTCCAACTGGAAGTTTTTAAGAAGAGATTGGATAACTATTTGTCTGAAATGGTATATAGGGCTTCCTGCCTGAGCAGAGGGTTAGACTAGAAGACCTCCAAGGTCCCTTCCAACTCTAGATATTCTGTAAAGTTCAAGTTCGCATCCCGCGCCCCGCCGTCTGATTGCTGCCGGGCGCCGCTTCCCTTCCCCTCTGGGACTAATAAATCCGCCACGTGGTCGCCTCCTCCTGGAGACTCCAAGAGCCGGGAACCCAAGACTTACTCCGGCTCCCCGCCCTTCCTCTCAGCGCCTGGAGGATTATGGCTCAGAGCCGGCCGCTGACGCTCGAGCAGGCACAGGGAGGGACTTACCTGCTGCGGCTGTTGTCGGGAACGGCGCTTCCCCCGCCTGCCGCCTCTCTCTCTCTCTCTTTCTCCGAAGGCCGCTCCGAATTGCGCATCCTGGAATCCATCTAAGTGACCCAGTCGAGGGGGCTTCTTCTTTTTATTTTTTTCCTTCGCCTCGAAAGGAAAACTTTCAGCCGTCCAAACACGCGGATTATTATCAAATCAGCTGAGACGCGGCGTCGAGGGTGGGGTCTGGTGGCGACGACACCACGGAGGGAAGAGCGGAGTCGCCTCAAACCGCCAGGTATCCCCCCTTTGGTCCTTCCAGAGCGAATGGGTGGGAGCCAGCATATTGGTCGCTCTTCGCAACCACGTGGTTCCCAGGGGTGGAAAAAGTTCCCTCGTAGATCAGGGGTCCCCAACCTTGGTAACTTAACTTTAACTCCCATAATTCCCTAGCCAGGTTTAAAGTCCAGAAGCTTTGCTGGCTGGGGAATTCTGGGAATTGAAGTCCACAAGTGTTAAAGTTGCCAAGGTTGGACCGGATCGTTAGACGATAAGGACCGTGTTATATGCTCCATAAGGGGCTGTCAGGGATATGGAGGAAAAGGGGGGGAAAGGGCATAAGACTCGTCTGATGGAGGGGCACCTCGTCGTACTCCTTCCCTGACGGCTGAGTCTTAATCGGGCGATCGCACTCTGACCTAAAAAAGGCCTAAAAAGAGCCGGACTGGGTTTCTTTCGCCTTTTTCTTTCATTCCAAAGTTGATGGGATGTCCATTCCTCTTCACTCGATTTGAAAGGCGTAGCAATTGAAAAGCTTTCGAAATAGGCTCCTGTATAGGAAGGGGAATCTATGAGGCGCTGGATGTAAAACATTTGTGAGTTTTGTCCTGGTTTTCCTTGCATGGTCACCTGCCTCTACCCAAGTGCCATAAAGCGGGGGGGGGGAGGTATCCAAACCTTGGACTTCAATTCCCAGATGATTTCCTGGTTGGGGAATTCTGGGAATTGAAGCCTACATGTCTTTAAAGTTCCCAAGGTTGGAGACCCCGGTCAATAAAAGTATTTCTGAGACTTGTTGCTTAACCAGAAGTACTCCTCCCGCCCTCCTTTGTAAATTGCTAGCATACTTGGGAAGCAGAGGCGTGAACGCAATAAGCGTTGCAACTGGATTGGGTGGGTTGTTTTTTTTTTCTCCCTTGGGCCGACCTCGGCAATAGCTGATTTAAAGCATCCTTTTCGCTGTTTTTCCTTCCCTCCCTCCATCCCTCCCTCCGTGAGCGTCTCGTTCTCCCGAAACAAAGCCGGAAAACAACGAGCTTAATCCGCTCTCATTTGGAGACGGATGGCGTCGAGCTGCTTGGAAAAGAGGCCAACGCGGAAATGAGCTCCTCCTTCGTTATGGAGGCAGCCGCGTATTATAAAGCTGCTAGCCTGATTTATATACAGATTTACTACGGATCTTGGACTCACTGTTACGCTTTCAAATATGTTGGACTGACCTCTTCCCGTTGCGCTTTAAAAGAGTTAAGAATTGGCTGACCTCTATTCCGACTTCATTTCTCGAAAGCTCGGTGGCATCCCCCCCCCCCAACTGCTCGATTCGTACATTATTTAGGTCACCAGCTAATAATTCGAATGTAAGGTTCTTTATCTTTAGAGGGAGAAACAAGAATTTCCTTTTACACTGTTGCTTGTCTTTCTCGAATCAAGGCCATATTTGGAAATAATAGTTGTTGTTTTTTATCTGCATAAAAATACTTATTGGAATACCATATTCTTGAACCAGGATGTGTTGGACTATGAATTAGCCAAAACTCTCTTTTATTTTTATATTTTTATATTTTTTAATTAAACAGACAAAAATACTTACAAACATGTATACATAAAGACAATACAGGAAAAACATACTAACTAACAACTAACATTGTTTCAGCCTATCGGCTGACTTCTAGAGAGCTGTTGCATCCATGATTATTTTCGGAGCCAAAACTCTCTCTTAATGTAGCAGTAAATGCAGACCTAGCACATAAAGCTAGTTTATGATGTGTTGTGTGGTCCTGGAAAATAAAGTAAAACATAAGATATTGGGTCATTGAGAGAAATGAACATATTTGATAGGTGATGCATTTTTTCTAAATTCACAGCACTCATTTAAAATCAGTAAAAAGAAATATCTCTGATTTTGGATATAACAACTATCTCACGTCTTTTCGGTAAAATACCTGCAGACAACATATATTTTCTTCCTTGTAGATATAGGCCCAATAGTAGGAAAACTGGCTCAGAAAGATGTAATATTGGATTGCTATCTTCTCCATCTGACTTTTATAATTTTTAAGGTACTTTTAATTATGTTTTCAATTACATTTGCCTGTTTTGAAGTTTTTTAATGTAGGCATTTGTTACTTGAATTTTTATTTTGAAATTCTGCAAACCGCACCCATAACCCTATTTCCTCTGACATGGTACTTCTTAGATACATTGTTAGTTTTTTCTAAAGGCAGTTTAAGAACATAAATGCATATCTCTCATTTTTGGTCATAGGGCAGTATAAATTAATAACATCGTTAAGAATTACAATCATTTTAGTAATAACTGGAATCTGTCAGGTTCCTAAAAGAGAGAGAGCTTGATGTAGTGGTTAAGGTCCTGGTTTAGAAACCAGGAGATTGTGAGTTCTAGTTCCATCTTTGGCATAAAAGCCAGCAGGATAACTTTGGGCCAGTCACACACTCTGGGTTGTTGTTGTAGGAAAAAGGAAGGATGAAGAAGTATTATGTATATTTTCTGACATGAGTTACCTGTACAGTAATAAAGCTGGGATAAAAATGTAATAAATACACAAAGCTGACATGCCAACACAATACTATAATATTAAAATAGCCTTTTTGTCCTTCGGGCTAAGATCAAGTGTAATGAAAGAATATAAAAGTAATATACAGTCTTGGGGTAAATGGGGAAGGGATTATAAGATTTGTGGTTCTTACTATACTAGCAAGCTGCTTCCTCAGGCTTCGTCACATGTCCTTCAGCCTACTTTATAGCAATGAACCTCTGGATAGGAAGGATCCAAAGGAACACTGTCCTTTGGATTCTGAGAAGACAAGTTTTGTTCCCTTTTATCTGTTGGTAGCATTAACCCTTAGCAAATTCCTTGCTGGAAAAAAAATGGAGCAAAATACTGTCATATGATTTAGCACTTTGTACTGCCTTTTGTAACCGAAGCTGAAGCCTCTTACATAATAGTCACACTGAACTTGGTAGGACATTTGAGTGATCATTCTTTCTTTATATTGTAAATTTATCTCTATTGTGGTTGAGGTTAACACTGGGCGGGTGAGGCAATTTTTAGGCATCCTGTTTACTCCTCTGGGCATGTATTGTCTTGCATCAGCTACTTATGCTAGCTTAGTTTTATGCTAGGTAAAATATTGCCAAGTGTTGTGGGAGGAACACACGAACCAAGCACATCTTTCTTCCCCCCATATTCCAATACTTGTTCAGCTTCTTTTATCTGTCATACTAACTTTATTCAATCTGGTGCTCACTATATGGGATTACTCAAAACTCAACATTCTTTGCCTGTGGACTGAGACTTCTGGAAGGTACAGAGTTAGTGAACACTGCCTTATGATGCTACCACATCGTGTAATATTAGGATGCCATAATTTGGACATTGTGCTGTTGGAAGAAATGTCCATCTAGGTTCAGTTCCAAGTGGGGAGAAAGACACTGGAAACATGGAGACTGCTTGAAAAGATGGTTTAATGGTGGACAGGACCACATGGTTTTGAGGTCCTGGGCAAAAAAGCACATGTGGGGGTGGGGAGAGAGAGAGAGAGATTTATACCCTCTCTTGGGCCCCGCCTTGGAGCTTCCTGTCCTTGTATTCTGATTGGTTGTCAGACTCCCATGAGGCCATGCTTTGTAGTGTTTTGAGTAACTTTGCTTGAATCCCAAGCTTGATTGAATCTTGCTGGGTGATGTAATCTCCCCAGGTGCCATGTGGTGAGTTCGGTTGCTAGATGGGTAGAGGGCTAATCCTATCATGTTTTGAGGGTCATGTCTTAATCCCATCACCATGGAGCTGAAGGGGGGGCCCAGGGAGCTTCTTTGTCTTTAAAACATGTTTCTCCTTTTCTCATACAGGGAAATATAATATTCTGCCTTTTTAATATTTCCTAAAATATTTCATTCTTCTAGGAGGCGGGTGTGTGCTAACTTCCTACAGTGCTGTTGCAACTTGGAACAACAGCAATATAGCAATAGCAATAGCACTTAGACTTATATACCACTTTACAGTGCTTTACATCCCTCTCTAAGCAGTTTACAGAGTCAGCATATTGCCCCCAACAATTTGGGTCCTTATTTTACCCACCTCTGAAGGATGGAAGGCTGAGCCAATCTTGATATAAATGATTTATTGTAATACTATTTTCTGTTGAGCAGGTATAGTTCAACGACAGAATGTCATTGTCTATTAAATTGAAATAGAAAGATTGATGCTTGACTACAAGAAGAATTTAAGATGAAGACATTTAAAAGTGAATTTGTTAGGAATATATTTAGCATACTTCCTTTTCCTGAATCTCTTATATTTAATAAATAAATAAATAAATAAATAAATAATTTTATTTCTATACCGCCCTTCTCCCGAAGGACTCAGGGCGGTGTACAGCCTATTTAAAAACACAAGACAAAACAGCGATTAAAATTTAAAATAATTAAGTAGATTTGGCTCAATTTAAAACCCCAGAAATTTAAACTACCCCAATTTAAAACTATTATGTTGATAGCCCGGCCTGGCGGAACAACAGGGTCTTCAGTGCGCAGCGAAACACCCGGAGGTCGGAGATCTTACGTATTTCCCGGGGCAGTTCATTCCACAGGGCTGGGGCTTCTACAGAGAAGGCCCTCCCCCAAACTTAATGTTTGTGTTAAGTGCCTTTTCTGCAATGGTGCTTACCCTGTGGGATAGCTACCCTGTCCCTGAACTTTTGATGGTCCTGGCCCTGTTGGAAAGCCTTAAAAACCTGGTTCTTTCCACCTGGTTCTTTAAATAGAGGAGGTTAATGGAATTTGGGTTGAAAAATTGATTACTTTTTATATTGTATCTTTTAGTGTTCTATTTACTTTATATATATGTTTTATATATATGTTTTAAGGGACGCGGTGGCTCAGTGGCTAAGATGCTGAACTTATCGATCGAAAGGTCGGCAGTTCAGCGGTTTGAATCCCTAGTGCCACATAATGGGGTGAGCTCCTGTTACTTGTCTCAGCTTCTGCCAACCTAGCAGTTCAAAAGTACGTAAAAAATGCAAGTAGAAAAAATAGGGACCATCTTTGGTGGGAAGGTAACAGCATTCCTTGCATCTTTGGTGTTTAGTCATGCTGGCCACATGGCCACAGAGATGTCTTCAGACAGCATTGGCTCTTCGGCTTTGAAACGGAGAGGAACACCGCCCCCTAGATTCAGGAACGACTAGCACATATGTGTGAGGGGAACTTTTACCTTTACCTTTATATATGTTTTTGGTCTTATGACTTGTTAGCTCCCCAGAGTTACTTGATCAATATGATTAGCCACATTAATTTTCAGAATAGAAAAGTGCTAGATAGAAGTAAAATTCCAGAATAAATTGGGCACAAATATAGGCTGATTCTTGTCATGACATGAAACATAAACAGGTGAGTTAAGATAATTCAACCTCTGTTCTATTTACATTTCTTATAATTAGGTCAGTCCTGTTGGGAATACTACTACATGTACTTACTGGGCCTAAACAACAGTGTTTTATTATCCATAGCTACAAAACATTTAAAATACTTTGTTGCTAGCCAACTGGTTTATTTTTTAATGGATTTCTGATGTAACACTGGAGAGTTTTTCAAAGAAGCATTTTTATAACAAAATAGGACAAATGGTACATGAGATTTAACTCCTGATATTTATATGCTTGGTGCAATGGAACAGGTAACTTTAGGCAATATTCGTTCTAAACAAGTAGTCCTCCAACTTATGACCATAATTGAGCCCCAAATTGCTGTTGGTAAGCAAAACAGTAAAAGAGTTTTGCTCCATTTTATGATCACAGTTGTTAAATGAATTGCTGCGGTTGTTACCTTAGTAACATAGTTGTTAAGTGAATCTGGCTTCCCCTTGTCAGAAAGTCACAAAAGATGAGCACATGAAGCTGAGACTGTCATAATACATGCCAGTTGCCAAGCATCTGAATTTGATCACGTGACCATAGGGGTGCTGCTAGAGCAGTGTGAAAAATAGCAATAGCATTTAGACTTACATACCACTTCACAGCCTTTCTAAGCAGTTTTACAGAGTCAGCATATTGCCTCCAACATCCTGGGTCCTCAGTTTACAGAACTCTGAAGGATGGAAGGCTGAGTCAACCTTGAGCCTGGTGAGGTTCGAACTGTCAAATTGCAGGTAGCCAACAGTCAGCAGAAGTAGCCTGCAGTACTGCATTCTAACCACTGCACCACCGCAGCTCTTATGGTCATAAGTCACTCTTTTTAGTGTTGTTATAACTTCAAACGATCAGTAAGCAAATGGTTGTAAGGCGAGGACCACCTACAATTTGGTCTCATAGGATCCTAGGCCATAATGTTTTATTTTAAACAGTGTGTGAAACTGACTTCTTCAATAAAATTCTGTATAGCAAAATTGGAAAGCTAGCTATTCCTATCTATATAAATTGTTTCATACCCTCCTGACAGATTTATTTATTTATTTATTACAGTTTTATCTCATCTTTATTACCTTATAAGTAATTCAAGGTAGTGAACATATATAATGCTCCTTCCTATTTTTCTCACAGCAATGATCCTATGAGGTAGGTTTGGCTGAGAGAATGTGACTGGCCCAATGTCATCCAGCCAACTTTTATGCCTAAAGTGGGACTAGAACTCACAGTCTCCTGGTTTATAGGCCAGTACCTTAACCACTGTACCAAACTGCCTCTCAACAAACATATATAAAGATGGAAAAGTTTGTGAAGACACGCACAGAAAGGTCACATATGCTGGTTGAGTTATTAGGGATGTTAAGAGATATGATAGTTGACTTATGTGTCAATGCTGCAGATGATTTCTAGATATATATTTTAATAGCCATTGGTATCGGACTAGATAAAGCAGGAAAACTGCTAATTTATTCTTTCTTCTGGATAGCTGTCCTTTAAGGGGACCAGATTAGGAAAGCATGTAGGTCTTACAGTACTGCTTTTATTGGAAAGCTGTAGTAACAGAATGTTACAGGTTTGAATGATCTTTTTCCTTCCCTAGTTGAGTGTCAACCTTGCCAATTAGTCAGACAATGGGCTAATACTACATTACAGGTAGTCCATAATTGTGGTGTAAGTCAAGGATTCACCTATTTGTACACAGGTATGATTAGTAGGGAAGGTGGAATACAGTACTTAGAAAAAGCTGAGATATATGGTAGCTTCCATCACGATCAGTTGGTCATGCTTTTTGAGAGTAATGCGAGTTATATGAGCCACAGTGATGCAGTGGTTAGAGTGCAGTACTGCAAACTACTTCTGCTGCCTGCCGGCTGCCTGCAATTTGGCAGTTGAAATCTCACCAGGCTCAAGGTTGATTCAGCCTTCCATCCTTCCAAGATGGGTAAAATGAGGACCCAAATTATTAAGGCCAATATGCTGACTCTGTAAACGGCTTAGGAAGGGCTGTAAAGCACTGTAAAGTGGTATAGTCTAAATGCTATCGCTATTATTAATACCTCTGGAGTGCATCTGTCTGAAGAAAGGTATTCTACCTAATGTAATTTCCAATGACTGCACCAAAAGCTGTGATTCCAAATGTTCACAGTTTTCTGGATGAAAATGTTAGTGATAAAAGTAAATACAGAAATTAAGTTTCTTTTTATATGGGTGCTAAATAATTTGCAGTGATATTAAAGTATAATATTTCACAGAAGGTGATAAAACATAGCTACAGAATGTGGAGTGCGTTACTCTGCCATTTGCCCTCAGGGTACTTAACCTTTCACAGTGGATTACTACTTTTTCATTTCCATATCTGTGGTGTTTCCTTTGATAGCTGTTATTACTAACCTATTTGGCTTGAAGACAGAAATCTTTAATTTAAAAGGTGGACCATTTAATAAAATTAACCTTGGATATCTAACATTCTAAATTAAAATGACCATCTGATATTGTAGCTATGGAGTTTTTTATATTTTTAAAATAAGTATTTAATATATATTTAATATATAACTCTTCCTGATTTAGATTTAAAGGAATAGATTTAAAGTTTGTCTATGCTAAATTTCTGGAACTGGTATCAGATGGTGTAATAATCATAATACTTTGTTGTGTATATTCTATGAATAAAATTTTAATTTGTGTTTTTATGGGTCACTTTAGAGTATATGAAACTGCCCAAAGTCTTATGCTGTAACCAGATTAGTAGATTGCATTGGAAAGAATTAGCTGTTTTCATTGGATTGTATTAAGTAAGGATATGAACATAACTGTCAAAAAAGATGACAGTTAAATTTTTCATTAAAGTTAATATGCAATTGAAAGTGCATTAAGCATTGTATTGTATTTCTAAAGAACAATAGCTTATATAATTCTAACATGTACAGTCATTTATTGTACCAGGGTACAATATCATTAATAAAGTAATGACACTATATCCCCACTTTGAACAATAGTATAGGTGAGATGCTGTCAATTAACTGTTAAGGTACTAGAAACTGTAAGACTCTGGTTGAGGGAGAACAGACTAAAGCTGAACCTAATAAGGTGAGTTACTGTTTATACACCAAGATTCATTGTCAACTCCAAGTTATTTCTGGGTGGCCAGGCACTTTGATCTGGAGCATCCTCTTGGACTCACAGCTCCTCCTAAATAGTAGAAGGAAGCCAAGACCAAAGAGAACTTTGCCTGACTTCACCTGGTCCAGCTGGTACGGGAAGACCTAGCTATAATGATTCATGCCCTCATTATATGTTTGGATTACTGTGACCTACTTTACAGGTGACTGCCCTTGAAGAATATTTGGGAATTATAACTGGTCCAGAATATGACTTGCTTACTTACCATTTCCTGACATGGAAGCATTTAACACCAATTCTGTGGACCTTGCATTGATTACTGGTAAGTTTACTTATCCTTGTAAACTGCCTGGAGTAACAGAGAGTGAGTTGGGCGTCCATATGAATTTTCTTAAATAAATAAAATACTAGCAAAATGTTCTGTAAAGCTCTTCTTGACTTGGCTCTTGGATAGGACTGTAGGACTGCCTTCTTTCAATTACACCAGCCCTATTTATCAGATACTATAAGTACTAGTGATTCCACGCTTCCACAGGTGAGGGGTGCTGAAACTAGATGGTGCTGATTCTCTATAGTAATGTTGGCTTCTCAGTGGAGATCAGACTCACATTCCTTACTATCCTGTAGGAAGCTAATAGACAACCTATGACCTGTTCGCTCATTGTTTTAGAGACATTTCCTCACCTAAACAGAGAAACACAATTATCAGACAGAGGTGCACGAACAAGTCAGTGGTAATGGGACTGACTTCTGTTTTTCTATTGGCTTGCCTGTTGAATTTACTTACGGAAAGCTTGCAGTGAGCATGGGAGATCCTTCCTTCCCGCCTGCCTCCCTCCCTCCCTCCCTCCCTCCCTTCCTCCCTCCTTCCCTCCCTCCCAGCAGGCAGGTAGATCACACCTGGAGCTTTGATCTTCAGAATCACCTAGTAAATAATACATTCTTTATTCTCTGCCAGTTTTAATTTACTGTACTTAGATCATGTTGTTGCTATGCATTGAACACTGCCACTTGTACTTATTTAATTATGTGTAAATTTTTTGTTATTTTTGAATTATGGCTGTTATGGTGTGTATTATTTGTTTTTTTATTCTGTCTTTATTACTTTTAAGTAACTGAAGGCAGTGAACGTACTTCTTTATCCTCCTATTTTCCCCATAACAATAATCCTGTGATTATTGGGTTGGGTTGAGAGAAAATGGTTGGCCCAAAGTCTCCCAGCCAGCTTTCATGCCTAAGGCAAGACTAGAACTCACAGGTGTCTAGGCTAGCATCTTAACCACTACAACAAACTGGTTCTTTAATTAAGTACAAAGTTGTATTCGGTTCCTCCCTTCCCATCAAAATTGAATTTGAAGTTTGTGATATGTTTTGTACTATTAAAATAAGGAGAAAATATTTAGATGGATGGATGGATGGATGGATGGATGGGATAGATAGATAGATAGATAGATATTTTAAAAAACTATTTTTTTCCTTATAGGAATTGATATTACTGTAGGTGAATGCAAAACTTAACTAAACTGGATTTATAACACAGATGTGCTGACCCTAAATTATATACTAGCTTATGGAAAAATAGTTTTCCTAATTTGCTTCTAAACAAAATGAAGAGGCTATTGGCAAAGTGAGGCAACCACTTTTAGCCCCACAAAGTGGACTATACTAAGAAACAATGCCAAATAGGTGGGGACTACTTTGATTGTAAAAGCTATAGTAACAGAGTAGTAACAAGTCTGAATGTGCGTCCCCCTCCCTCCCTTTGTCTTCATGTGAACTAGGGTGGGGCTTGATGAGACATTTTAATTTCTCAAGCTATCTTCTTCACTGGCTCAAGCTCCATTGCCTTGGTAGTGGCTGGTCCTTCTGTCCTACAAGGCCATTGCCTATGCTCTCTGTAGTCATCAACAAGGTGGCATAGCATGTATTTTTAGCAACTTGTTTTGGGATTTTACTCTCTAGCAGCATCGTATTTATTTTACAGTATGATGTGCCATAAAATGTAGAGCAAAGTTAGCGCTAACTGTTCCTACCTTTCCCCATTAAAATATTATGCTGTTACTCATCTTTATTGAGATAAATTAAAAAAGTGATGTCATATCTATGTCCAATGTTTTTAATTTTGAATTACTAATAAAAAACTTTTTTAAAAAAATTGTTGACTAATTTTTAATTTTCTATGAATTCATATCTTGTGCTAATTAGTTATGGTTTATAGATTACCCAAAATTTAGCTATGGTTTATAGACAAACCATCACTCTTAAATATAATCAGTAAATGTTATATTGTTTAATGCTTTGTATAAACCATATCTTACCAATTCTAACTACAGTTTTTCTTGATTTTTCAAGGCAAAGATAAACTGATTTCACAGCACATACAACATGACTGCTGCTGTTTTAGGAATAGAGCTTAATTGAAACTTGATTGCAATTATGTATAAGAAAGGAAAGAAAAACATTGTTATCTTCTTCCAAAGAGAAATGAACAGCATTTTAAATGAGCCATTCTGATCTGGTAGAAAATGTCAAAAAGCAGAAATCACTGCAAATTGATGTACTGTCACATGGGAGTATTTGGTTAATAGTTCCCAATTGTAGCAAAGAATGAGACACTAAAAAGCCCATAAATCATTACAAAGACTTATCAGCAGCAAATGCAGAAGTGCAGTATTGATAAATAAGAGGAGCGGTTTAGAAAAAGGCTGCAATATTACATATTTATCATATGATGATGGCACAGAGAGATATTTTGCTTGAGATTTAGTTTAAAATATTGCATACTGCCTTTTCTTATGATATTGTGTTGGTGAAATTTGCCTTCCCCCTTTTTTCTCAGCCCTAAGTTTTAAGGTAATTGCCTTATTCTGCTTTTTATCGTTGTATTTATTATGTATCCATAATTTAAGAAATATGTAAATGCTGACAATCTTATTGATGGGTGCTATACAAAAAGGGATGCAGTGGCTCAGTGGCTAAGACGCTGAGCTTGTCGATCAGAAGGTCGGCAGTTCAGCAGTTCGAATCCCTAATGTCACGTAACGGAGTGAGTACCTGTTAATTGTCCCAGCTTCTGCCAACCTAGCAGTTGGAAAGCACGTAAAATGCAAGTAGAAAAATAGGGACCACCTTTGGTGGGAAGGTAATAGCGTTCCATGCGCCTTTGGTGTTTAGTCATGCTGGCCACATGACCATGGAGACGTCTTTGGACAGCACTGGCTCTTCGGCTTAGAAACTGAGATGAGTGCCACCCCTAGAGTCGGAAACAACTAGCATGCATGTATGGGGGAACCTTTATCTTTTATACAAAATTATTAACTATAAATATTGCATTTTATTTCTAAGGATAGAATTATTATCTAGGATTCAGGCTTTCACTAAAACTTTGTTGCACTTCAGATGTTACTGTTCATATTTTTAAAGCAGTATCTCAGTGATAGTGTAAAGTTATATAGATGCCATCAAAACTTGGCATGGTTCATAGTTTTAAAATTATAAACATGATAGTTCAGTATACACTTCTGTTACCCTGATAGCACAGAATTGCATATTTTGTTTTCGAAAAGCTAAGCAGTTTGGTGAGATTTAAACCATCTGTACACTAGATTAAGTTGCTCAAGGCTTATGGGAATATTTGCAGATGGGCTATAAAAACTAAACAGAACAGATTATTCTGTACATAGGAAAAAGAAAAATAACTAGATTTACCATATTTTTGATTATATAAAGAAATGTATTATTGAAGTCTTTATATGATAATTTTTGAGATTTTATTATTCAACCATAATTCTTGCTTGATGTTTATATTGTAGTTTTCATTATTTAGCATGAAGGATATCAGTAATTATAAATTATTATCTGAAAATTGGGTTAATAATCATTGATGCTTACAGGTTACCATGGGCGAATAATAATGGCATAAATCTTTCTTGTTTTCCTTTTAACTTTATCATAAAATTCCTTTCTTAACCATAATAGCACTGAAGTAATAAAGCTTATATGACCATGACATGAACTAAGGTGATACATGTTTAAGACATGAATTAGAATTGCATCCTAACAGGAGGCATGCCTTCTCTGTCATGGTGTCTGTTTTGAGCCTCTCCCTGATCCTCCCCACCTTCCGGAAGATCATGAAGGCCTGGCTTTCCCCCCCAAGACTTGGGGCCATGATACTAATGGCGCTCTGGTGTGAGTGTAGATGTGTCTAGATACAATATGTCAGTATAGAGATTTAGGTGTCTTAATCTAAATTCTTCTAATTGTTTGTACATTTGGATTCTGTTTCTATATTTGCTTGTGCTCACAGCTCCTCTGGTAGAAGGTGATTATATACATTTATTTAAGAAATAAACAAATAAAAATCATCATACAAAAATGCAGGTGGACAAGCTTTATGTCACAATTTAGTCACATGCCTCTTGTCCTCCATGGACAACTATGATTAGTATGCAGTTTAAAGTATATTTAGTTTGTGTATGAACTCCAATATATAGATGAATGTGGTATTTTATTATACAGATGTTGTTCATTTTCAAACAAGGAAAAAAGGAGAACTACTCTTGCGAAAAGCTGAGCTGTTCCAGTGTTGTTCTCACATGGATTCACTAACCAAAATTTGCAGATTACTCTTGGGTCACTTTCTACTCAGTGGTAACAAAATTGGGATGAAACATTTTAGGAAATATTATTTGTTAGGATAGAATTTGTATCTTTTAAAAGCATTTTTATGCTTATTGGTTAAAAGTAAAATAGTTTAGACAAAATGGTCTTTTAAATGTGAAGAAATGAGTGATGCCTAAAGAAAATTCATGTTCAAATTACAGTGGTATATAGATCAGGAGGCACCAAATTATGTGTAGCCTTTTGAGATTTCCAACTTGATGACAATAGATTTAATAAAAAGGGGGGTGAATAGGGTGAACACTGGCGGAATTGAAATCGGAATATGAACGTGAAATTGGGCTGTGTTAGCTGTTGTTCATGTTTCATCTTAATTTTTATTTGAAGCACACAGGTTTTTTCTCAACAGGAAAAAAAAGTAAAGAAAAATTATTGTTTATATTACTGAGGCTTGAGATTTGTTTTGCCTTACAAATCAAAGTACAAATTAAAAAGAAACAAATTCTTAATAGTAGACAAATTGGCTGTGGCTACAAGTGGTTGGATGGGAAGAAGTTGGTAGTCTTACATTCTAATAATAGATAGTAATCTTCCTTCAATAATAGAATTTCACTCTTGAACAGATAAATAAGGTATTTTCCGGTTATTGGAAAATATTACAAACTAACAGATAAAGTTCTAATGCAATACCTTTTACAT